AGCAGTGGCAGTAGTTTGTGTTAACCTGATAGGTTTATTCATTAGATTTGTAAAGTTATATTTTACCATTAGTCTATTAAAATGGTGGTTACTATTAGAAAGTTAAATACCCTGGCAAAATTCAAGATAGACATCAAAACTCACCTCTTCATGTTTTGGCTCTTTGCAAAGACGTTATGTAAACACCACCCTTTGTTTATTCATTTATGTGCACATTGCTATGATTATTTGATTGCTTAATGTATAAAAGTGATAGTAAGCCTTTGTTTTTGTTCCACAATTATAACTAATTATATATAAAACTATTATCCATATGGTGTAAAGCGCTTTAGAGTAATTTTACAAATTATATAGGGCGCTATATAAATGTTGTATATTATTTATCATTATTATTATTATTATTATTATTATTATTAGAGAAATAACACATATCCTACACATCTTTTGATGGCAATATCTGTATTTATCTATTTATCTATTATTCATATACTTTTAATTCCACTAAATATCCTTAAACATAGAGACGTTTTCAAAAGTCAATTTCGCGAGATATACCGTATACAAAATAATTTGCAAGTCATATCTAACAAAGGACACATTTCTTTGGCCAAAGGAACAAAGGACACGAATTTGTACACAACATGAACTTACTACAAAGCAGATGTGACATTATTGTTCTGGAAGGGTACATACATTTTTGTAACCGGTTACTCGACCAATTTGGTAGTCAAACAAGCAAATACGTGGAATGTATATCCCCCGCTTGCAGGACATATTGTAGGTTAACATTATTGAGGTTAGGTTTAAACATGTGAGTATCGTGCTGTTGAGACATAATGTATAGCTTAAAAGTTAAAAGCCCTATACCTCGATGATTATCCGTAAATATGCACAAATCACGTCGGTTGGCAAACTTAGCATGAGTGGAATGTGCATAAGGAATTTGGTTGAAACATCTTAACAATATCTACAGCGACACGTACTAATTGTAATGGGGGACCATTACAGGGGTCCCCCAAACTGCCCCCATAGTCCCAAAGATGCATCAGAAAAGGATCGCATTGCCCTAGTACACCTACAAGGTACATACTAAATTTCTAAATTTCGACCAATCACAAGCCTCTGTGTAGTTGATATTGCAACGGAACGTATGCGATTGAATTTGCAGTCCCCGAATACCCCTATATACCAATTTTCTTCGAAATCAAACAATATCTCAATTGCGACCAATCAGAAGCATCCGTGTGGTTACTATGGTAACGAAACTTATGCGGTTTTATTCGCCGTCCCCTATATACCCCTATATACCAATTTTTATCAAAATCAAACAATATCTTAATTTCCACCAGTCCGAAGCCTTTATGTGGTTGCTATGGCAACGAAACGTATGCGGTTGAATTAGCAGTCCCCTAATATCCCTTTATACAAATTTCCATCAAAATCTAACAATATCTAAATTTCGACCAATCAGAAACCTCCGTGTGGTAGCTATGGCAACGAAACCGATTCGGTTGAATTCGCAGTTCCCTTATATCCCTATATACCAATTTTCATCAAAATCGAACCAAGTTTGAAGAAAATCGGTTAACATTTGTTGTAGTTATTGCACGGAAACGAAGCGAGGCAGATCATGACGTTTTTCATTGTTCAAGGGGCCATAACTCCGCCAAATGGGGTCCGCTGAAAGTGGTCATCGAACTTGGCCGAGCCCTTAAGGCATTTGTTGTAGTTATTGCGCGGAAACGAAGCGTGACAGACGGACAGACGGGGAGACGGACGGACGGACGGACGGACGGACGAACCCATATTTCGGTGAAAGCGGGGGATAATAATAAACAGCAACAAATACATTATATGTTTGGAAAATGTTCTATCTAAAACGTATTTTCACCACAAATATTAACACAGGATATAGTTGTATGTAACTTCAGTAAGTATTTTTCATGGACAACGCATGTCGGAATGCAGTTAGACGGATTCAATTGCAGTTATCTGTACTCTAAATCATATGCGGTAATATTATTCTTTAGAACAAAATTTGCTTTACATGCTTGCTCATTCAAGTGTGTACTCTTCATATTATCTTTACATCTCGCATGCAAAGGCGCGTTCTATCTGAAATTTGATATATCACAGCTTTGTATTCTGGCTTCCTTTTAAATTGTTTTCAGATTTTTATGGTGTTGGCGACATCCCTTTGCCAGTATTTAAATTAGAGTACAAAACTAACAGTAACATGTCATCCCTGAACACTGTTTTATTACAAAACTATCCAAGTTCGGTCGCATCTATACAAATGCAGATAGTTCTAAGCCAAGGAAACATGGGGCTCCCAAAAGGGGTAAGTAACTTTTCGGTTAAGGATTTTGGTAACCGGTTCGCGGTCTTTCGCCCGAGTAACCGGATAACAGGCTAACCGTTGACAACCGTACATAATACATCTACATACCAAATCTATAACATCGGTCAATATCTAAATGTCGACCAATCAGGTCCCGACCTAACACGGACATTTTGTCAAATTAAACATTCAACGCAGATCGCAGTAGTGTTCGTAGTGACACTGCACACTTTACATAGGGACATTGGACAATGCATACATTTTGACTTATCAGAAGCCAGTCTGCAGCGGCCATTTTGAGGAGGATGTTGGCCTTTTTTCCCATCTTCAAGAACACGATTAAAATATTCAATTAAACAACATTTATTGTGGTCCATAAATCTGAGCAGAAATTGTTACAGCCTGAAATGACTTAGCAAGTGATAGGCCATGATTTAATTCTGTTCGGAAACTTAACATCGAATATCAATAGTGACTACATGTATTATACAGTATGTAACTGCAGTACACCTCTACTATGATACTTGTATCCCTCTGTACAACCACGCATGCTTATACATTAAATCTGTGTATGTTACATATCTTTGTATACCATTGTAAGTCAAAGATGATAAGATAAAATAAAACAAGAGGCCCAGAGGGCCTGTATCGCTCACCTGGATAATTAAGCAACCATGGGAAATTATTCTTATTACAAACAATCCATCCAATGGTACAGAAGAAGAAGTATTTTAAAGAATTAAACCTCAAATTCCCTCTTTGAGCCCCGCAACTCTTCACCCAAAGGAGCCACACCTATCATTTATACAAAATTAAGACCCCTTTGCACAAGGATATTTCAGGCCAAATACGGATAAAATCCCTCAAATGGTACATGAGAAGGATTTTAAAGATTTCAACCTCAGTTTCCCTTTTGGGCCCCACCCTCAGCACCCAAAGGGGCCACACCCACCGTTTATACAAGATCAAGTCCTTTTTGCACAAGGATGCTCCGGACCAAATTAGGATAAAACCCCCATTATCCCTACGGTAGAAGCAGGGTTTTAAAGGTTTTACCTCCATTGCCTCTATTGGGCCCCGCCCCTCTCCGCCCAGGGGGTCCATTTTAACAAGATTGAGTCCCTTTGCCCAAGGATGCTCCAGACTGAATTGGGACAAAATCCCTAAATCTATGTGGTAGAAGAAGGATTTCAAAGGTTTTACCTCTATTTCCCCTATGGGGCCCCGTCCCTCTGCCACCAGGAGGGGAAGCACACCCACCGTTTATGCAAAATTTAGTGCCCTTGGCCAAAGGAAGTTACAGACTGAATTGGGATGAAATTACTTCATCCCTATGGTAGAAGAAGGATTCCAAAGGTTTTACCTCTATTTCCTCTATTTGTACCAGCCCATCTGCCCCAAGGGGAGGGGGCACATCCATCGTTTATACAAAATTGAGTCCCTTGGCCTAAGGATGCTCCAGGCCAAATTAAGTCAAAATCTACTGGGTCGTTCAGGACAAGTGGCATTTTAAAGAAAAAGTTGACTGACGGACGGACGACGGACGTTGCGGTATGGCATAAACTAACAATGTTCCTTCGGACCGGGTGAGCTAAATATTGAAGTTCGAACAAGTTTGAAGTTTGTACAGTAGTAAACAAGTCTAAATATACCACAATCCCCCAAAATCAATTTCAGTGTTCGTACTCATGGCAACGGGCAATTTGCCTACTCCTAACACGATTTCTCACCCGGGTGAGAAATCGTGCAGAGGTGAGAAATCGCGTTGCGAACTCAGCATTTTTAGCACGATTTCTCACCTGGGTAAGAAATCGTGTCGGGTTGAGAAATCGTGCCGTAACACACGGGACAGATTTTGAGTACAATTTTTTTTAGGTTTCTTCAATGTTAATCGTTTTTTAATATATGAAACCTAACTTGTACAATGGAAACATAGTGATGCTTATAAATATTTCACTATGATTAACAATACAGTAAAACCTCACTCCGGACACTAAGTCTAGTTGACATTTCCTGTTGTCTGCAATATTAGTGAGGAAATATAAACAACCCAAAGTTTTTGAACCCCACCGTAGTTTCCGTCTCTGCCTCTAGACTCGTTGATGGGGGCATTTTAATCCAAAATGAAATTCGTCATCCACATCAATTTGAATGGACAAAGTCTAACGAACGGAACCTACATTCCGATTTTTTCAAGATTCAATTCAAACTGTGTTTACCTTGTCCTCCATGTTAGATAAAAAGCCGGACGGACCGCTCCTTTAGTTATAGCGATTGTTTAAGATCCCCGATGTACACGAGAGTACTATGTACGTGTGTGAAAAAGGGTTGAAGGAATAAAACACTGCTGGGGTGGGTCACCCCGAATACAGTTTATAAAAGGTGTTTGAAAAAATACAATCAAATCATCTCTATATTTGTAACTAAATCTGTGTCGCTTTACGTAAAACAGCAACGGCTAAATCATGAGACATTTGCAGTTTTGATACAAATAAACTTTTATATTTCGATTTCTATTCGCAGACAATATTCCCCATTATGTAATTCTCTTGTGAGATACGATAATACGTATTTTATTGTGTATTATATGGTAAACTAGTTATCGTGAAAAATAATCAGGAACCGCTTGAATACTATAAAAAAAATAGCACCTCCATACCTGAGGCACGTGTCAACGTCGTAGCTGTTGGTTTGTGTACTGGACACGTCGATCCCTTTATGGAATACAATATAGCAGATATAAATATTTCAAAATAAGTACAAGTTATATAGGAAGATTACATGCAATGACTTGTTTCTAAGCCTTTCCGGGACTTACCACATAACTGCTAATCAGGGACGGGATCACCATCCCAGATTTCGAATTTTGTGGATACATTTGGACTGAATCACGTCATGTTACGTCAAGTTAAACAACCAAAAACGTCTCTGCTAATATTCCTCAGGTTCATATATTTCTCTAGTTATCGATGTCGAATTATAATTATACTTCGATATTCTCTATCTCTTTTCTATACCTCAGCGCATTGAAACATTGTTATTATATATAATACTTCTAGAAATGTATAAGCTGTAGTATATCAATTCATAAAGAAAGCTCAATTTCTGTATTGATGTACCATTACTCCCTTTACCACCTATACCATCCTATAGCATCTATACTTCCTATATCACCTATACCCTCTTACAGTAACTATACGTCCTATACCACCTATACCCTTCTTCATCATCTATACTTCTTAAACTACCTATACCTTCCTTCATCACCTATACGTCATATACCACCTTTACCATCCTACATCATGTTTACTTCATATACTATCTATACCCTCCTACATCACCTTTACTTCCTATATCACATATACACTCCTACGTTATCTATACTTCTTATACCACATATACTTCCTATACCACATATACCCTCCTATATCACCTATACGTCCTATACCACCTATACCCTTCTTCATCATCTATACTTCTTAAACTACCTATACCTTCCTTCATCACCTATACGTCATATACCACCTATACTCTCCTACATCTCATATACTTCCTATAACCACCAATACCCTCCTACGTCATCTATACTTCCTATACCACATATACACACTCCGTCATATATACTTCATATACCACATATACTTCCTATACAACATATACCCTCCTACATCACCTTTACTTCCTATATCACATATACCCTCCTACATCAACTATACTTCCGACATCACCTTTACTTCCTATAACCACCAATACCCTCCTACATCATATAACCCCTCTTACACCACCTATACCATCCTATATAATCTATACTTCCTATATCACCTATACCCTCTTACAGTAACTATACGTCCTATACCACCTATACCCTCCTACGTCATCTATACCTCCTAAACCACCTATAACTTCCTATACCACCTTTACCATCCTACATCATGTTTACTTCATATACTATCTATACCCTCCTACATCACCTATACGTCATATACCACCTTTACCATCCTACATCATCTTTACTACATATACCAACTATACTCTCCTACATCACATTGACTTCATATAACACCTATACCCTCCTATACCACCTATACTTCATATACCACCTATACCCTCCTACACCACCTATACTTCCTATACCCCCTATGCCCTCCTACGTCATCTATACATCCGATACCACCTATACCCTCCTACGTCATCTATACATCCGATACCACCTATACCCTCCTATATCACCTTTACTTCCTATATCACATATACACTCCGACGTTATCTATACTTCTTATACCACATATACTTCCTATACCACATATACACACTCCGTCATATATACTTCATATACCACATATACTTCCTATACCACATATACCCTCCTACATCAGCTTTATTAACTATATCCTCCTACGTCACCTATACTCTGTTACACCACTTTTACCCCATACATCACCTTTACCTCCTATAACCACCAACTATCCTACATTACCTTCACTTTATATACCTTCTTACGTAACCTTAACTTCCTGTACCACATATACCCTCCTACATCAACTATACGTCATATAACATCTATACCCTCCTACATCACCTATACGTCATATACCACCTATACTCTCCTACATCACATTGACTTCCTATACCACCTATAGCCTCCTACATCAACTATACTTCCGACATCACCTTTACTTCCTATACCACATATACCTTCCTATACTACCTATACTTCCTATACCACATATACCCTCCTACATCAGCTTTCTTAACTATATCTTCCTACTTCACCTGTACTTTATATACCACCTATATCTTCCAACATCCCATTTTCTTCCTATATCACCTTTCACTTACTCACCAGTGCTTTATATATGTCATATTTTTACTTCATATAGCACCTATACCCCCTACATCACATTGACTTCATATAACACCTATACCCTCCTATACCACCTATACTTCCTATACCATATATACTTCCTATACCATATATACTTCCTATACCACCTATACCCTCCTATGTCATCTATACTTCATATACCACCTATACTTCCTATACCACCTATACGCTCCTACAT